GACCTGAGCCGAAGGCTCAGGTCATGATCCCAGCGTCCTGGGATCGAGTCCCACATCTGGCTCCTTGCTCATCGGGGAGCCTGCTTCTCCCTCTGCCTCTGCCTGCCATTCTGTCTGCCTGTGCTCGCTCTCTCTCCCTCTCTCTCTCTGACAAATAAATAAATAAAATCTTAAAAAAAAAAAAAAAAAACAGGTCAAAATGTATAAGACACAGTTAAAGTAGTACTTACAGAAAAATGTATAGCCCTAAATATCTATACAAACAAAGAAGGACTCAAACCAATGACATCAGCTTCCACTTTAAGAAACTAGAAAGAGAGGAGCTAATTAAAGCTAATTAAACATAAAAAATATAATTAAGAGCAGCAGTCAAGGAAATAGAATACTTATGAACAATAAAAAAAATCAGTAAAACCACTTGAAAATAGAAAACACAAATTACCAATATCAAGAATGAGGAGATGATACCATTACATACAGATATTAGAAAGATAATATGGGGATGTTATAAATAATTTAATAGATTCAAAAACTTAGAAAAAATGGACACATTTCCTGAAATATCAACTACCTGAGTTCATTTAAGAATAGATAACTTAATATTCCTATCTCAATCAAAGAAATTGAATTTGTATTTTTGAATCTTCTCACAAAGAAAATTTCAGGCTCATAGAGCCTCTCCAAAGAAAACTCTTAGGGAAGAAATACCAATTCTGTACAACTCTTCCAGAGAATTCTATGAGGTGAGCATCACTCTGATGCCAACACTCGATTAGATGACCATATTTCACTCACTTCTTTAGACAGTAGAGCTTAGCCTCCTCAAATAATACCCTTCAAATCCAAACAGTCTTCTGATGTCTTTAAGGAGCCTCCTTCTACCTGGAAGCTTCTTATTCTTGACTCCAGGGCAGAGAAAGCAGATGATGATTATAATCTAGTACATAATACCCTAACTATGGTCAATGACTCTTAGACCTCCAGAAATAAAAGCCGTTACCCTCATGTCTTAACAGTAACAAAGGTAGCCAAGTTGATTCTCTGACATATTTTATTGTTCACCAAGCAACAAAAATAAAGCAAAAGTCAAAATATCATTTTAATATTGTTCAATAGCTTGCCCATCATTGATGAAAACTCATCAACTATGTGAAGAGAAATGTTTCAAGCTGAAGGCTGCAGCAAGCCGAAGAAGCCAGGTGCTCAATCTTGGCCATGGAGTCTTACAGAGATTAGCTATAAGTCATAGGATATGAAGATGCTTACATCTCCAGAGTACACAGAAAAGCTGCACTCATATTTGATGTTCCTGTCTCCTTTCCTGCATCCCTGACCTCCTTCCTCTTTTAATTGTGGTACAAGTGGTCACTTTTGCTAATAATATAACACAAGCTGCTACTCTCAGTAGATGCAGACAGATGTTATTATCTTTATCTCTCAAGGACATTTTTGCTTTTGGGATTTTAAGAAGGCAGAGAAATATTGGAATAAAGGATGCAAGGAGCAGATAAAAATTTGAAGGAGACAGAGAGGAAGAGAGAGGAGAAGGAGGGAAAGTTGGGGTGGGTGATGTGAAGAAGCGAGGGAGGAATGGGACATGAGAGAAAGAAGAAAAGAGGGAATCAAAACCGGAGGGATGACGAAGAATGGAGAGTATGCACGGTAAAAAGAGAAGGTGAATGACAACCTCTTTTATTCCTCTTTGCCCACCTCCATCAAGAACTGCTAGTAAGGAGGGACACCAGCATGGCTCAGTGGGTTAAGCCTCTGCCTTAGGCTCAGGTCATGGTTCCAGGGTTCTGGGATCGAGCCCCACATCGAGCCCCGCATCGGGCTCTCTGCTCAGCAGGGAGCCTGCTTTCCCCTCTCTCTGTCTGCCTCTCTGCCCACTTGTTATCTCTCTCCTCTCTGTCAAATAAATAAATAAAATCTTAAAAAAAAAAAAAAAGAACTGCTAGTAAGGAAAGTAGGAAGAGATTTCAACTGATAAAAAACTTAGAATTCATTCAAAAAAGAAGTCAGGATGGAAACTGGGTAAAAGATAATAGACTAAATACTTCCTCTACACAGACTTTTACTAGCTTTTCTGGCCAAAGAGAATAAACAAGTATCAAATATTCATCCTACCTCTAGAAAGTAAACTATAATGTATGTGTCAATATATCATTTGTTTCACAGTATCAACCACCATTCTCAGAGATCCTAAGAATTCATGGCACTCCCCACTGGCCATTCTTTCTCAGCCTCCTTTGCTAGATTCTCCTCACTGATCTACCACTGAAATATTGCAATCTGAGGGGGGACTCCTGGATTCCTCTCCTCTTCTCTTGGTTCTCTACTCTTTGCTCCATGTGATCCCATAAATCTCTACTCCTATAGATACCACCTACATGCTTACGATCTCAATAGTACATATCCAGCTAGGAGCTCTCCTCCAGAATCCACTTAAGTCTCAGGGCATGTCAGAATAAACATGTCCAAAATTGATTTTGCCCCTTTGATAGTAGGTTGACTGACCTAACTTCTATTTGTAACTTCCTTTTCCTTTGTCTCCTTTCCTATGAGGCCATCAAAGGTCACAATTCAATTTCCCATCCACTCCAATACCTGGTGGTTTCCATGGATCTGTATAACTCAATTCTGGCCAACGACATATAAATAGATTATCTCCTGATATTGTCTTTTCCTTTCATCCTTCTTGAGGATCAGAACACATATACAAAGCTTGCAGGTTCCACAATTACTTGGTGATCATGAGGTAATACAAATGAGGCTGAAAGTTACAGCACTAAGGATGGCAGAGAGGAAACACAGAAAGAACATGCATCTCTGATGGTACCATTAGCCTAGTTCACTAGCCCTTAAATGCCTCACTTCAGTGTCCACGTTATTTGAAATAAATGAAGGTGTATTTGTCTAAACCAATGTAGTCTCATTTTCTGTTAGTGGCAGCCCAAGTCATTCTTGACACAGCCTCCAAAACTGTTTCATCTCTGTCCTTCTCATCTCACTGAAATGCTTTATAATTGCCCCTGATGCTCCAGCTAGAAATAAGATGGGTCTTCTAGATTTCTCTGTTTCCCACAACCCCTCAATCCTAACCCTACCCTATCGAACACACAGAGTGAGTCCATCATTAAGTCCTGTGGCCGTTCCTCCAAAGACTAGGGCCGCACTGTCAATGGTTTTCCTAGCACTGCAGCTTCCCCAGGCCAGATCAAATGGGGAAGCTTTTCACACGCTGGTACCATCCCTACTCATCTCAAATTTGCATGGTTAACTCCTTTTACCCTCAAGGCCCAGCTTAAGTGTGTCCTCAGAGAGGCCTTGTTTGACCATCCTATTAAAATTCTTTAGAATTTAATACAGAGAATTAACAAAAAGGTCTTATTTGACTGAAAAGATGAAAGAGGACTACAGAGACAGTGAGAGCAGGAGATGGCCCCCGCACCTGGGGCTGGGATCTGGAGCTCTGACGGTCCCATTTGTCTCCATCTCTACCTCAGGTGCTTGGAGGAGGCTCTGAGGAGCTGCTTCTCAGATTCCAAGGAGAGGGTGTTACCTGGGTGGTACTGGCACCTCTGACAGGATGCAATCAAGCCGTTTCTGAGAATGCTGGAAAAAACTCGGAACTGCAAACAACTGGTGATGCTGGGGTAAAATGCATGGCAATGGTACCCACTGGGGCAACAAGGAGAGTGAGGAAGAGCAAGTCCTTTTGGGTTCCTCTCATCTACCCATCTTCCGCACTGCTTCCTATGAACAGAGCCTAATATGGACCCACTTGGCAAAGGAAAAATGTGGTGTTTGCAGAGCCTCAGCCTGAAGGATTCGGAGCAGCATATAAAAGGCTGAGTTCAGGGGTAAGATATGATACATAGCTTAAGAAGTAGCACAGTTTTTTTTGTTTTTGTTTTTTGTTTTTTTAATTGTCCTTTCTCCCTTGCTAGACAATACGTGTTCAGGACCTATGCCTTTCTTTTTACTGTTTTACTCCCACCATGTGCAGAGTAAAAGTAGATAGAAGGTACTCCAAAAATATTTCTTTAGTGGATGAATTTATTGGATTTTTCTCAAAACTAGTGAGCAAAGTGTACAATTTAATTCTTTGTCAATTGAATCATACCAAATGCCTCATATGATGGTCTAGGCAGTTTAGTTAAATATGAAGATGAGGCACTTCCTTGTTACTTAGCAAGGAATTTAAGACATTCTCATATGACATTAAATCATAAAATGCCATAGAAAGCATTCACTTGTTTAAATTCCCAGAGAATTAAACAGGCAGCAAAATCTACAGGAGATGAGAAAAGGAAAATATAAAGGTAGGTTTGGAATAACTCAAAGACTTATGGAAGAAGCTGCCAGCCTGAGGCAGGCTTGAAAGGGGGCAGACAAGCAAAGTCAAGGAAGATGGATGAGTTTGGCAGGTTTTCAGATGTTTCTGATGAAAGCAGAGAAGTGAGAAATTACTAGAAGTCACTGAAAAAGTGAACTCGAACCAACTGTGGCAAATAGCAAGTTCTGGAGTTAGAATTATAAGCAGTATGTCTTTTGCAAAGAGGAGCCATTAAGAAGTTTTAAGCGAAGGAGTGGTGTGGCACTGGGAATATTTTCTGAAGGCAAATTTGGCAGTGTCATGGGAACTGACTGAATAGGTAGAATCTGGAGCCAGAAAGACGAGTTAGAAGACTGACACAATCTTGAGCCAGAAAGAGATGGTGGAGATAGAAATAAGAAAGAAAGGGAACATGCAACATTTAGAAGGAAGAATCAATATAACATAACACAGAATTAATCTAGGGAAAAGTTAGTGAAGAGAATTTAACCTGCAGCAATTCACTGAAGGTTCAGAGGATGGAGAGAGATGAAAGATCATTGAGTTTCATCCAAAGAACATGATTAACAATGATATCCATAAAATAAAAGTCCCAGTGAATATCCTCTGATAACTAAGCCCAGTATTTTCAAAAGTTATTATGGATCTGGAAGAATATATATGTCTTCATCTTGAGGGTCTTCAGAAGTACTGGGTTTCTGGAAGTTATAATATTGAGGTGACATCTCATTTCCATAGATATGCTCCTCAAAATTGGTCTGCCAAGTGTTCTCATACAGTTCTTTATCGATTACCTCTTTATGTTTGGGATCACCATTTTCCACATTTTCATAGCGGCCATGAGTGTTAGTCCCTCTTCCAGAAGATTTGCAGTGCTGGTTCTGAACTGAGATTTTATGCCTTGAGCTGATAGTGAGGAGACTTGAGAGTGTTTTAGTATTGTCTTTTCTCCTGCTGCTTCTCCTTTGCAAGACCCTTGGTAAGGGAAAATGCACCGGGTTACCATGTTTCCAGCACCAAACATACCCAATTCCACAGATTAACAAGAGGAGAAGAAGGGAAATTCCTATAGAAGTGGCCACTGGTGTATTTCCACAGCTTTTTAACATTTCTGCACAAGCACTGTTGTTTCGTGGCATGGGGGAGCCCTTAATGAATTCACAGGTGCAGACAAATGTAATTCCTCTTAGGGTGGAGTTTAAAAATAATCCTGGAAGCTCTTTTTGACATTTCTTTTTCAGATGTGGAAGAACATCATTTGGCAAAGTCCTGATACAATCAGAGGAGAGACTGAATAAATGTAGCCTTGGACGATCCTTCTCGTTGTATGTGATGCTTTTTGCATTACAGTCCTCAATGTATAATTGCACTGTGTCGGGGGGGATTTTAATTGACTTCACTTCACTTTCTATCAATGAATCACAAGACAAAGCAAAAATGAGTGGAAGATAATGGCAGAGCAGACAACTCAAGAAAGAGAAGGTTGGACGATCTGCCATCCATACACCTCCTATAAATTAAAAAACAAATTAATTGCATATTTATTACATAGCATAATAAAAAAATCTGTCAATATCTGCCAATATATTAAGCACTGTCATTTAGTGAGTTTGTGACTCAAAAGAGAATATAGTACTAGCTGTTGTTAGAAGAGAAAAAGAGAAGAACTTCTATCTGCTCAAACCTGAGTAGTTTTATTAGATTTCAACATGGATTTTGACAATAATGTTAATAGTTTTCAAGTGAAAGACAATGATTTGAATGCAATAAGAGAAAGGGAGAGGATTATACCTGCACAATAATTTCCATTATTTATCACCTTCTCTGTGAGGCCTTTTCCTTAATCACTCCTTCCTCTGTATTCCCCTATAAATGAGGCCATTCTCTATTATAGCATGACAGCTTAAGTTACAGCAAATTGTGTGTCTTCCCACCTGGTTAAATGGTGGGCAGGGATCAGGTCTTTTCGCTGTATATTCCTAGAGAATAGCACAGTACCTAGTGCAGGAAAGAAATTCAGTTGACATTTTATTAAATAAGGGAGTTAAGAAACAAATGACTCCAAATCTCAGCATCTAATTGCTTAAGTCATTTAAAACTTAAGATACGTCTTCTAAAGGGTATAGGTGTTTTGTTCTGTTTTAAGATTTTATTTATTTATTTGAGAGAAGAGAGATAGATAGTGAAAGAGACAACAAGTGGGGGTGAGGGGAAGAGGGAGAAGCAGACTCCCCACTGAGCAGGGAGCCTGATGCAAAGCTCATTCCTAGGACCCTGGGATCATGACCTGAGCTGAAGGCAGATGCTTAAGCAACTGAGCCACCCATGCACCCCTAAAGGATATAGTTCATACTTAAAAGAAGAAAAGAGCTCTTTGACCTACCACAAAATATCTAAAACAAACTTTGAAAGGCTTTCTATAACTCGTGTTCTCACAACTTGCAGAAAACAACTTTTCAATTAAGATATTTTCAGACTGTTTTCTGCCAAGGTTTTAAAATGGCAAAGAGATAAGAAATGAAAAGTGTTCAACCAGACTGAGTGTTGTATTATGATTTTATCAACAAAATATTATTACTGTATGTTTTCAGCCTAGACACAGAAACAGTTACATCTAATACCATTTTCACTGTTGTTGCTATTTCTAGTTTTATTGAGATATATAATTGATACATAATATTGTATCAGTTCAAGGTATATAGCATAATTTGACATATGAATACATATGTGAAATACAACATGATACATATTGTGAAATGATGACCATACTAAATTTAGCTGATGACCATCACCTCACATAGTATAACTTTTTTCTTCTCATAATACTTTTTAAGATCTACTCTCTTAGCATCCTTCAAATACACAATACAGTATTGTTAACTATAGTCATCCAATATTGTTAACAGTGCTTGTGGGATGATTATCATCATCTATTGAATGTCACCTTTGATAATATTTAGTTAAGAGCTTATTTTGGATCACCTTCTAAACACTTTTACATGGATTATCTCATTTATCCTACAGATGCCATATGAATTAGATACTAATTCTAATGCCTATTTTAGAGAAGAGTAAGGAGAGGATTAAAGAATTTAACTTCTTGAATAATTAAGAAGCGATTGAATCCAAGAGTCAAGTAAAATTTGCCCCAAAATACTATTCTTAACCAAAGTTCTATAAATGGCTATAAAGAACATCTATTGCTAAACTTTTATAGCTTGATTTGCTCTGAGCTTCTAGAGGGATGGAGCTCTTACTTATTTTTATATTACCAAAACCAGTACTAGACAAAGAAGAGCTACTTTCTTAAATATTTGTTAGTAAATGGAGCAAGCAGCATTAGGATAACAGTGGCAACAATAAACAGGGAAAAAGTAACCCTACAAAGCTGAGTCCTGATTTTAGTGAGTGTTCACACCTGAAAGTAAACTTTCCTAAATTTGTTCAAGGTTGGACTACATCAACGTGAAAATTTTCAGTTTGGCATTTCACACAAAACACCGAATTACATATGAAATGCAGTTAACTTTTATAAAACTTATTTGATAAAACTGTATGGACAGACATCCTAGATCTAGACATCTTTGGAACCTTTCTAGGTTCCCTCCTTTATAAAGACCAGATACAATGCTATGTCCAAAGGCAAATATTTGGCAAATGATTTTAACCTTTAAGACCTCATTTCCTTTCTAAAACAGATAAGAACTGATTGTAGGAAGATAATTTATGGTATAAATGATTACTCATTTAAGTAAAAATTTGGTAGCATATTTGAACTGAATTTCAAATATAGATTAAAATTAATCACCTTTTTAAAATTCTAAGCTTGCAACAAAATGGGGAATGCTGACTATTGCTGAACATTAGGTAATAAATTGCCCTCACCATTTCCAAGATGAGAATTTATTTTTACCATCTATGTTGTGCTATGTAGACAATCCAGAATATTCCAAATAGGAAAACTGTCGAAGAAGTGTTTACTGAGATAAATACAAGAAGACTTCTTAAAAGAGAATACATCCTTTTTATGCTCTAAAACAACTTAATAGGAAAACATCTGAGAGGCAAAATGGAAAGACCTACTAGAATGGAAACCATATGTTAAACAAGAGCCCTTCAAAGCTGGCTTAACACCCCAATTAGTCTCATTTTGCCCAATATGCAAGAAGGCTGTTCCTGTTTTGGAAAACAGTTCCAACACACTACCTAACAATTATTCATTTGTTTTAAAATCACAAATGATTGATAGACTTCTGGAATCTTCAAAGGCAGAATACTGCCCATTTGGAAACAAGACAATAGCAAAGCCTAATCTTAATGGTAAGCATATACACTGGTAGAGACAGATTAACATCACCCTCAGTTTGTAAACTGATTATTGCCACAGAAGGCCACCTAAAAACTATGGTAACATAAAGTCATTATTTAAAATGAATTTGTTCCTTATAGTTTTTCATCAGCCACATGCCTTAAATCAGGTTCTCACTTACCTTGAGACTGCTGAGCCAAACTCTCCTCTACTCTTTTGGTTAAATCTGCTTGAGTGTTCCTCTTTTTAGTGTTCCTCTTCTTTATCCCCTCCTTCAGATTATTTCATACTTGCAAAGTTTCCTGGTTGCAGAGGAAGTTCTGATCAGATGTACCAGAATTAAGATAAATGGCATGAGTTTTTGAAAAAGGAAGTCTAGCCCTTTATCCTTGTCAATAATTCTCCAGCTACATCAGAGAATGATACCTGGAGCCCAGATGCTTCTTTATTTGCATAATATTTGCAGTCCTCACTTCAGAATCAATAAAAGTCATTTCATTTGCACTTAAAATTTTTTAAGAAGAAAGATTTTGAAATGTAATTACATGGAGGTCTTGTTCATTTGTTTGCTTATAGGATCATTAAAACAGTCTTCATTTAAAATACTGTGTCTCAGTGCCACAGGTTATGTTTCCACTTGACAAGCTAGTGTCCAAATTTTGGTTCAGAAAATGTTAATATTCCTTTATGCTGGTAAAACAGCAATCTCCCAAAGTAGATTCAACTTGACATTCAACTTGACGTGTGACATTTCTGTGATCTTCTAGTAGGTAGAAAGGAAAATGGTTTCACTTTGTTTAATGACAGAGGCCAGCATATTCTGGGCATTCGCTAGGTCTTCTAAACACTTTGTGTACTACTTGGTAAATCCCGACAACAACCAGTGGGAGAGGGCTGCGATTCATCCGATTTTATAGGGGAGTAAATGGAAGCAGAGGGGTAACATAATCCCTGCCCAGTGTGGTCTGGCAGTGTGCCTCCAGCACCTGTGTGCTAAACCACTTCATTTGGTTGTCTCACTTGAGTGATTGAGAGGTTTCCAGCATAGAACCCTTATTTAACAGCCTTGCTCAGAGACCAACTCCACAGAGTTAAAAAAAAAAACAGAAAAGGCTGAATTTAAAAAGATGAGATCATAAAGCAATGGAAAGTTTGCCTTTTAAACTGTATTGGAACTTTTCAACCCTAGGGGATTTTTCAACCCCCAGGGGATTTTCTTTAAATCAATGAATTAAAAGACAATATTTCATTACTGAAACACCAACCAGACATTAGAAGAAAAGACTGTCAATAGGGGTTGGGCGTGGATATTCTGCCAGGCATTGTGCTGAGTAATGGGGATGCAATAATGAACAAACTCCCTTGCCACACCTAAAGCCTACTGGAAGGCTGCTGTACACACAGATTGTTTCAGATCAAGGAGGTAAGGGCTAAGAAAGACAAAGTTACACACAGAGGACAGTTGGAATAAGGAAAAGAGGCATCCAATTGAGAATGGTCAGGGAACACAAGACCTGAACTAATAATAAGCCTCATGGAATAAAAAGGAGTTAATCAAGGCAGAATAGAAGGGTTCTAGGCAAAACCCCAGAATGAAGGAGGATATGAAGTGCTGTGAGGAATGAACCATAAAAGATTGTACCCTACTGCTATTCCATTCTAAGCTGCAAAATCTGCCCCCTTGGAAAACGTGTCATGCCTACAGAGAAGAGCACTGTTTACGGTTCACTGGGCAACTTCGAAATGTTAGACTATGGTCCAGGGCTTAAAAACAAACAAACAAACAAAAAACAAAACAAAAAAAACCTGATAATGAAAGAAAAACAAAAAGGCTCAAGAGTTTCACTCCTAGGTATATGAAAGCCACTTCTGTTTATAACTGCTTTAATTCAGAATTTCTCAAAGCTCTAGAAACATTTGAAAGTTCCCTCAACAATTCAACAGTGAATAGAACATGATAAATCCATGCAGTTGGACACCACATACAGCAATAAGAAATCTGAAATA